TGCTGTGCTTAATGACGGTAAAATTCACATCGAACTAAGTGCGCATTTAAATAGTTAGTAACTAAGTGCACGCTTACTTAAGTGCATGCTCCCAAATAGCAGCAACTCCTTCCCAATCCGAGAGAAGACCATTGGACACAGACGGCACCACCTGTGGCAGGTGTGGGCGAGGTGGGGACGAGGAGGAAGGGATGTGGTGGGGGAGGTTTAAAAGAAGACCATTGGACACAGATGGCACCACCTGTGGCAGGTGTATGCGGGCGAGGGGGAGAAGAGGGAACAGGGAGTGGAGGTAAGGAGCAGAACCAGGAACATGTCGAATCCAGATAGTTAAAGAAGATATGGTTGGAAAACAAAAGGCAGGCAATCATGGCCTTTGCAATACTACACTGAATCCATTCGTTGTGGCAAACGGTTAAGCTTCAGATGAAAAAATGCCCAGAAAAGCTGTGCACATCTGCTAGGAAAGAAAGAAAGAAAGGAAGTCATACAGAAAATCACTCACCTCCATGAAATCTCGTCTGTATCCAAGAGCGTTGCTCCCCACATACAGCTTCCTCTTGCCACCTGGCGAGCCCCCATTCGCCGACGCCCCTCCTACTGCCGCGCCCCCTTCCAGCTTCACTCTCTTCGCATCTGGCCCCTCTGCTTCGCTGCCCTCTCCCTTTTTCCCCTCCCCACCTGGGCCTTCCGCATCTGCCTCTATCACACCAAACACCTGCCATGCCATGCACGCAGCGTTGTGTGATATGATGCGAAGATAGATAATATACATTTTGAGGAGCCTAGTTTTGAGGAGCCTAGTTTTGAGGAGCCTGGTTTTGAGGAGCCTGGTTTTGAGGAGCCTAGTTTTGAGGAGCCTGGTTTTGAGGAGCCTAGTTTTGAGGCGCCTCACAACTAGCAGGCAGCGTTGTGTGATGTGATGTGACGATAGATATTAATATACACTTTGAGGAGCCCAAGAAAAGCAGAGGGCGTTATTCTCCCAACGTACACTAGGAAACCTGTCCCAGGTCAAGCACCAGTGCCATCTGGAAGAGATGCTATACATACAATACAAAGCGACAATTAAAAGGGCAATAAAAGCGGAATGCGCAGGGGCGAGATCTCTGTCCGTGCATACCGAGGGGAAGACAGCCTTTGGAGCATCCTCCCCTGCGTACCCCGCCTTGCACGTGTGCGAGCCCAGATCCAGCACCAGTGCCGATACCTCATCTAGAGGAATGTGGAGGTGTAGAAGATTGTGAAGGGGGGGATATATGAAAACACACCAGGACACGAATCCAATTAGCCTAGCATGTGTGAGGGAGGTGTAAAGGGGAAGGGGCCCAGACCTCATCTGCTTTGAGGGGGAGTGAGTGAAGATCGAAACGATGGAGAGTGTGTGCGAGGCTCAAAAGAACACCAGTGCTGATGCTTCGCGAGTGCGAGGAGAGCATGTAATGGGGTGCGGATAAAAAATAAATAAATAAATGAGCATTTTCAAAATACTTCGTGGGGCTCAGTACAACGCCAGTGCTGATGCTTTGCGCGTGTGAGGAGAGCATAGAATGGGGTGCGGATTAAAAAAAATAACACTGAGAATTTTCAAAATACCCCGCGAGGCTCAGTACAACACCAGTGCTGATGCTTCAGCATGTGAGGATTCTATCCATGCGCGTGATATTCAAACACACCTGTCAAGATAATGCTTCAACGTTTTGAAAAAAACAAATCAGAAAATACCTCCGCCGGACATGATGCTCGCGATGCTTCTTATTTACGTCTATGGCTCCGATAATGTGGTTCCTACAGCACCAATTGGAAGATCGTTCCCGTTGGAGGCGTAGATGCGACTGTGATATTCGGTTGAGAAACTAACGCGGGGGTTTGACGTCGGAAACCGCGGCTTCCAGAAAGATACCCCGCTAACTCTGAAGTACCACGGATTAATTTTCTAAGAGACGTGTTCACACCTAATTATTATACGTTCGTCGGGTCGGTGTATGCGACACGTCTAGAAGGAGACACCACGCGATGCCTATAGTGGCACTCGTTATGGGAAGGCGTACAGTAAATAATCCTCAATGTTTGCAACTACCTGTTTCTGTAAAGGAGTTTGCATTTATTGGTTTCGTTAGATTGATTGCATCGATATTGAACAGGTAAAGAAAATACATAGCACATGCGGGAATATGTTTTAGGTGCTGTATGTTGATGAGATTATAATAATATTCCATGAGTCCGCTTTATAAGTGAAGCAATAGACAAATTGCTCTACCCTCAACAGCTTGTATGGAGGATACTTGCGCCTTCGCATGACTGACTCCTCCTTCCGCCACAGCTCAACTATATCTGCTAGGGGGAATAACGGATGCAGCTTCATGCGACATCCTAGACCCTAGAAGCATCTGCTGCAGCCGTCACCTCTTCACGTAGACATCAAGTAGGTCGTAAGAAACGAGCGCCGTTCTATATATTCCACTTACCTTCCCTGATCGTTGCCTCGCGGCGTTGTACCTTCGCCCCACGGCTGTCGTCGCGCTCTCGACTGAATTAGCGAATTTAAGTCACCGCGTGGAAAAACTGACTTGAATTCGCAAGTTTTAGTCACCATGCGAAGTTTGTTTCGTTTCTAAGGCTGCTTCAACTCGCATCCTTCTCACTCTCGCCCTACGCTCGCAATTCCCGTGTCTCTTCCTTCACGTCTCTCCTCTCCTTTCCTCTCCTCTACTCTTTTATCCCAACCTCTCCTCTCCTCTCCTCTCCTCTCCTCTCCTCTCCTCTCCTCCCTCCCCTCCTTACCTGTCCCCTCTTATATTTTCATCCCTGAGTTGTCATCTCTCACCCATTTTTCTCCCTCTCTCCCTTTCGCTCCCCCATCCCCATGGCCCCGTTATGGTTAACACCGCAACGATACCTCATAAACCGCCCCCTCGCTCTCTCTCCCCTTCTCCCTCTTCCCCCTCCCATACCCCCTACAGATGGCCCCGCTATGGTTGACACCACAGCAGTACCTCATAAGCCGCCCCCGCGTCCTCTCCTTCTCCTTCACATCCCTGTTACAGATGGCTCCGTTATGGTTAACACCACAGCAGTACCTCATAGACCGTCCCCGTGCTCTCTCCCTCTCTCCCTCTTCCCCCCGTATCCCCCCTGCAGATGGCTCCGTTATGGTTAACACCACAGCAGTACCTCATAAACAATCCCCGTGCTCTCTCCCTCTACCGCAATCGCCTCAGAGAAATCAGCAAGCGGCCTGGGGGAATGAGCTGGGCGGCAGCAGAGAGCAGGAGGAGGGATGTGAGATTGCTGTTTGAGATGGGGAGGACTGAAGCTTCGGTGGATAACTTGAAAGAGCTGTGACATGTCCCCCCTGCTCGCTCCTTCTCCTTCCTATCCCCCCGACAGATGGCTCCGTTATGGTTAACACCACAACAGTACCTCATAAACCGCCCCCGCGCACTCTCCCTCTACCGCAATATCCTCAGAGAGATTGCCAAACGACCCGGGGGAATGAGCTGGGCGGCAGCAGAGAGCAGGAGGAGGGATGTCAGGATGCTGTTTGAGATGGGGAGGAGTGAAGCGTCGGTGAATAATTTGAGAGAGCTGTTTCGCACGGGGGAACATGTGCTGGCACAGCTGAGACGAGGGCATTTACCGGAAGTGGCTTATGTTTGATTGGAATAAATATGGTTAGTTATACCTCCTAGGAGGCCAGAGGTGGGCTTAGTTTAGGAGGAAATGAATTCGCAAATGAATCACTAGTTATCATTTGTACTGTTGTTGTGCGGTTCAAAATGTCGAATTTGCGAGGATTTAGCCAGATTCTGTCCATGCGTCCCGAATGGAGTATTTTTTCGTCATGTACACATGCCCTGTTCCTATTGCAGGGCATAAGGACATCACCATCAGCATTTGAATGTAAATCAACACGGAGAAAAAGAAAGGAAGGTTCTTAACTTTTGAAGCGCCATTCAATCAGTCAATTCTGTGTGGAGAATAGGGCCTTATGACATTGGTATGATTGTTGGTATTATACAACAATAGAATATAGACGGGGGCTTGTCAGAAAGGCTTCTTGTGGTTTCAGGTTGTGCATGTGGATATGCACATATCGAGGTTCGAGATGCTGCAGCCAAGCCAAACTTGTGGGAGTCTTCCATCCATTTTGAGCCTTCGGTGTTCCCCGTTCTTAGGATCTTTATCACACGTGGGAATCCATAAGTGGTTAGATAGCAAGAATGTGGGACCAACCTGTGCTTGTTTTCACGACCTTCTGATTGGTTCGCATTCTTCTACTTCCCCTTATTTTCGCAGAAGTTCTTGAGTCGTCACTCCACTCCCGAAAACATTGGAAGCAGACAGAATTGTCGCCCAATTCTTCAGGGTTACAGAGTCACCGCTCGTGTTTGTTCGATCCTGGAGGTTTCTTACTCAGCTTGCTGGCGCTCAGCTCAGAGCCTCGAGAATTTCCTGCTCAGCCAAGAAACAAGCTTCTGGAGCTTCAAGCTTCAGACAGAGCCTTGATGTCTGCTGGGAACATACCAGTTCCAACAGAAGGAAACAGCAGCAATAGATAGTTTCAACGCTTGCAGGTTTTTTTTCGTGCATGAGCCGCACACGAATGTTGTGGGTTTAAGGCGACGTGTCTAGTAGGGTTAGCGTTTGTACTATACGGCGTCGCTGTTTTGACGGCTGGTTCGTAGGGGTGGGACTTTCGTGCGAGAGAAGGTTATGCACAGTTGAAAGCGTTCCTTATTACGCCTTATACTGAAAAAACATGAAGTCGATAGGATGTTTGACGCACAAGTCTGTGTTTCTTAGTTTCAAGTTGTGAGTCGTGTTCCGTTCGTCTGAACCCAATACCGATACAGCATGGAGGCCAGAGCCTTTTGTTTACGTCCAAGTAGTGTTCGTGTAGAAGCGATAAGATCGAACAGCTTGCAACATAGATCTGCTTCTGTGAGGAGGATCACGTGGGTTCAAAGCTCGACGTTGTTGTCTCTTCGTCACAACAGATATAGAGAGAGACGAGAGTCGATCAACAACAGGTAAGGCTCAATGTTTTTTCAAGTCCAAGAAAAGCTTTCCACTTTTCGTTGATCTCCCAGTCGGCGTCATATCAGCTCGCTGTAGTTTCAGTGTTGCAAGTGTTCAGTTTTTGTGTGGTAACTTTGCACGATCAAATGAAATGACTTGTTTCTTCAGATTCCTGACGTTTGTCACCTCCTTTTGTATATCTCGTTCTTTCTTTCTTGATCCACTGCTTTCGATCAGGGTGTTCGCATCCTCACCTACCCCTCCCGATTTCTCGGCACGATCATCTAGCGGAGATTACAATAGCAGCAACAGCGGCAAAACACGTGGGGAAAGCAACAGGGGTGATAGTGTCGATGGCTCCAGAAAAGATCAGCATGATGATCCGAAATCTTCTAGTCCCCTGAATCCTCCTTCTGTCGGTCCACCTCCATCTGTCAGCAAATCGTCTCCGTCCACTCCGCCGCCATCACCTTCCAGCAACCCTTCCGCGTTCTCCAGCAGGCCGGAGTCTCTGAAACAGAATCAAATACCACGCCCGGTTAAAAGCGGCCCGGGACAAGGAGGCGTGGTTAAAGCCAACACACAGTATGGATTGGTAGAAGATGGTAGTATGCAGGAGTATAACCGATCTTCCAATGGAGGAGCAGCCAACTTTCCTGTAGCCGTTGTAGGTTCTACGATTCCGCCGTCTAGACCATTTTCCAACCCTCCCCCGTTTCGGCCTCCTCCTAGTCCAGTAGCCGGGATTGACATGCAGCTTAGGCAGCAGCAAGAGCAAGGACAGCGACCGAAACCCGCAATGGACTCCGAATGGATCAACTTCATGTCCCCGGACTGGTATCCAGTCAAGCCAATCTGGCAGGTGCGTTGAGTCTGACATGGCCGTTCTTTGAGAGGTTATCTTATGTACGGCGCGTTCAACCTGTAGGTGGCTGATGGTACTTTCTGCTGCTTCGTTTGCTTGTCACAGGGTACTGAGCAGTGCGTTCTGGAGCAAAAGGACCTCCTCCTCTCGCTTCCCCGTCTCTGGAGAATGATGCTGCTCAGCGATGGCTCAGTTACCCGCCATGTGGAGCTCCTGCTGGGGGAGCAAGTCACCGTGGATTGTGTGGAGATGCGCGGTATTGGTCATGCACTTCTGGGTTTGCCTCCTGGCACAGCGCTGGTGCCCGGACCACGAGTTCAGAGACAGGTGCGGCAGCAAAACCAGAACCACAAGTTGTAACCCCTTTACCCTTTATCGTATGCGCCGTTTGTGTCCCCTTCGCTTGCGCATCCTCCACCTCACCGCATCGTGTTCTATAGCGGTTAATATAGCTGTGAAGTTATGTTGGCAAAATCATGTGTACCTACGTCCTGCTGCTGCTGATTTCATGACACTGGCAGGTCCATTTGAAGCCTGCTTCCGGCGAGGTATTGGTGTATGCTGCCTCTTGGTGGGCGGCAGAGGAGGTAAAGTCAGCACTACCAGCTGTGCAGCAGCCTGTATGGAAGACCTTGCAGCAGCAGAGGACAGAACTCTTTCGCTCACTAGAGCGACTGTATTATGGGACCTCTCCTCATCTAGAAAGGTGAGTACTGTGTTTGTGCTTGTTCTGGTTGTACGCTTTCAGCTGCTCCTGAGCCTGTTTTGCACGGTATGAATGAATACTGCTGAATGTTTGGTGTGGTTTGAGGCTGTGGGCTGAATGCCACTTTTTCCCTGTTTCTTTCTTGGCTCCTTACAGAATATTTGGAGTACCAGGACCTTTCTGGGCTAGGCACTATTTCTTTTATAGTCATGGTCGCCCGCTTACCCTCATCTACGAAGCCTTTTCCCCTCGTTTGGATGCTGTTCTAGGGGACAGTAGGTCACCCAACCTTCCACCTCATCTGTGAGTCTGTGGGACTGTGATCCTTCCAACAAATCGGCAGTTAGGGGCCTGTTTACGCAGACAAATACCACACAAATGGTTGCTTACACGTGGTGATGTTAAACATTTGTACATCACTAGTGATGAATGCGCGCCGAATCTTTACACGGGCCCTTTAGGATATCACGTTGATGTTAGGGTTTGCTGTATTTTTTTGTAGTGTCAGATTCTAGCCTATATGCAGTGTAGTTAAAAATTGCGCTATTCTTTCCATCACCCCATACCGCAAAACCAAACCCAGAGTTTGCAAATATTTCATTGGCCGCACCCTAACGAAAGCGCATGAATTGCATATTGCGTACATCACCTTGGTCACAAAATACCTCCTACCTACCTAGCTTGATTCCACTAGAACAGCGAATCGCGACGAAGCCACAAGTGTGGAATGATCATCGACGGTCTCCTCCCTCTCTTCCTGAAATACACACATCAAACAATGGTTCTGCAATGCGTTGATTGCTGATGCGCTTTATTCGAAGAATCTTGCCAGTATTCGCACCCACCCCGATCGGATTCGCAAACCCTCCACTCCACTCCACTGGTGCAGTTTATTCAACAAGCCTTTCTTTAGTGTAACATTCGTTAGTGTGGATAACCTTTCGAGCAATCTTCTATCACCACTGGACCGAGCCGGACCGAGCATCTGCGTGCCAAAGCCCAATTGCACCGTATCCGACATGCCCACATGATCATGGTTCCTCACCACACCCCCAGCGGTCGTTTTTCTCCAAACGCGCGTCTCTACGGCATCGCAGCCTTGGGAATGTCGCGGCTTGTAACAGGGCTCATGGTGCTGATGCTGCTGGCAGCGGTAGTCCCTAGGCCGACTTTCGCCGCTTCTCGGTATGCGTGGTGGAGGGCTTGCGGTTGGTGATTCTCAGGTGTGCAGCGGGTGTAGGGGTAGAGATTTTCGACTCAAAAGTCTTCTCGGGTACGCGTGCGGCGTGGTGCAGTGTGGTGCAGTGTGATGTGGTGTGGTGCAGCGTGGTTTAGTGTGGTGTGGTGTGGTGTGGTGGTGTGGTAGGGAGTGGACCTCGAGTTGTGATAGAGCCGTTTTTTCGGGCTCATTTTCAATGAAGGGGTCGTACTGTGGAGGAAACAACCGGTTTCATGTTAAAGGCGGTTTTTGAGAATTAGCTGTCACAGGGCGGGACGGATTAGACGACACGCTGGTGCGCTCTTAAGTGGATTCTTCCCTGCACGCTGCAGCTTGCAATCACGACCTCTTTTTGAGGCTCCTAAAAAATCCTCTCAGCAACCATATCACAACAACAGGCGAGTCAGCGGCAGCAATCGATCCCTGAGGCGCCTCAAAAATCGCTCTTAAGTGGGACTCTTCCCTGCCGGCTGCAGCTTGCAGTCACGACCTCTCCTCCACACACACCCTTCGGCACCTTCCCCACCACCCTCCCTTACTCCCTTTGTTCCCTGATCCTCCCCTCCCTCCTTCACCCCCCTCACCGCTCGCCACCCTTCCCAGGCACGATGGGGTGCTGCAGTGCCCTGCCAACAGCAGCACGGGCGACCTCTTCCTCCCTGCCTTCGAGGCAGGAGCCCTTGCTGCAGGCATTGTGCCTTGCCGCTCGCCACCCCTCTTCACCCTTCTACAACCCGTCGTCACCCCTCACCACCCCTCCGCAACCCCCTCAGGCACGATGGGATTCTGCAGTGCCCTGCCGGCAACAGCACTGGCGACCTCTTCCTCCCAGCCTTAGAGGCAGGCGCTGTTGCTGCCGGCACCGTGCCTTGGCACACCACCAGGGGGAAGTTTCTGCTGCTGCACTGCGTGCGAGGCCAGGTGGGTGGGTACTGGGGAAGGTGGGTATTCGGGAAGGTGGGCACTGGAGAAGGTGTGTACTGGGGAAGGTGTGTACTGGGGAGGCAGGCGCTGTTGCTGCCGGCACCGTGCCTTGGCACACCACCAGGGGGAAGTTTCTGCTGCTGCACTGCGTGCGAGGCCAGGTGGGTGGGTACTGGGGAAGGTGGGTATTCGGGAAGGTGGGTACTGGAGAAGGTGTGTACTGGGGAAGGTGTGTACTGGGGAGGCAGGCGCTGTTGCTGCAGGCACCGGGCCTTGGCACACCACCAGGGGGAAGTTTCTGCTGCTGCACTGCGTCAGAGGGCAGGTGGGTACTGGGGAAGGTTGGTATCAAACAGGGCAGCTGCGGGTGGGTGCTGGGGACGGTGGGTGCTGGGGACGGTGGGTGCTGGGGACGGTGGTTCTTGGGGAAGGTGGTCGCTGGGGAAGGTGGCTGGTGGGGGAAGGTGGGTACTGGGGAAGGTGGTTGCCGGGGAAGGTGGGTCCCGGGGAAGGTGGGCACTGGTCGGTACTGGGGAAGGTGGGTGGGTGCTGCTTCCCCACCCTGCTCTCTCTCCCGCCCCTCTCCCTCCCCTCTGCCCCCTCCTTCCCTCCTCCTTCCAATCTTCAACCCCCCCACCCTCTCTGTTCCAAACTACCCTTCCACCAGATCAGCAACCGGGTGTTGTGCATGGCATGAAGAATCACCTCCCTCCTGGCCGGTCTCCTGGGTCGCACGCTCATAGCGCCCTTCCATCACTCAGAGGTGGTCCGCAATTACAACATGCGCGTCGCTCCCTCTCCTCCCTGCCCTCTCTCTCCCCACACGCCAGATCAGCAACCGGGTTCTCTGCATCAAGAATCACCTGCTGCTAGCCGGCCTGCTCGGCCGCACGCTCATAGTGCCATTCCACCACTCAGAGGTGGTGCGCAACTACAACATGCACGTGGCTCTCGACGTGGAGCACCTCAGGCGCTGCTTCGGCAAGGTGGTGTTCACCACAGCAGAGTATCGGCGCAAGTATGTGAAGCCGATCAATGTGACGGAGGTGGTGTGCTGGCACGGGCCCAAGGGCGCGTGCAGGGAGGAGGACAAAGAATTATTGCTCAACTGCCCGGCGCCTGAGACCATGAACACCCCGGCCTCAGTCCTGGTTGGAGGGGACGGAGAGGCTCTCAGAAAGGTATGTGCGTAGGGCTTGTTCAAGGTACGTGTGTTGGTGGGGCAGCAGGTGGAGGGGTGGTATGTGTTCACCTCACTGCACCACAGCAGAGTATCGGCGCAAGTATGTGAAGCCGATCAATGTGACGGAGGTGGTGTGCTGGCACGGGCCCAAGGGCGCGTGCAGGGAGGAGGATAAGGAGCTTCTGCTCAACTTCCCAGCTCCTGAGACCATGAACACCCCGGCCTCAGTCCTCGTTGGGGGCGATGGAGAGGCCCTGAGAAAGGTACGAGGGTGTGTTCGTGGGTTTCGTTCAAGGTAGGTGCGTGCAGGGAGGAGGACAAGGAGCTGCTGTTGAACTGCCCCGCGCCTGAGACCATGAACACACCGGCCTCCATGCTGGTTGGGTGTTTTTGAGAATTCTCAAAAACACCCTGCTCATCTCACGCGGAGGACAAGGAGCTGCTGTTGAACTGCCTGAGGCGCCTGAGACCATGAACACACCGGCCTCCATGCTGGTTGGGGGTGATGGAGAGGCCCTGAGAAAGGTGTGTGCGTGGGACAGGGCTTAGTTGAGGTATGTGGTGCGTGGGGTCACGGCCTCACGGCCACACCCTGGGGTCTTGTTGATATTCCCCAGAAAGTCTTCAGGGTGTGGTGGCAGGGACTCACGGGCCCAAGGGCGCGTGCAGGGAGGAGGATAAGGAGCTGATGCTGAAACCATGAACACCCCGGCTTCAGTCCTCGTTGGGGGCAACGGAGAGGCCCTGAGAAAGGTACGAGGGTGTGTGGGGCAGCAGGGGGGGGAGGGAGGGAGGGAGGGTGGTGTGTGTTGGGGGCGACGGAAAGGCCCTGAGAAAGGTACGAGGGTGGGTGGGGCTCGCCCAGGGGCCAGCTTGCCTATACCCCAACCCTCTGTTTCTCCCCTTTCCCTCCTCTCCTCCCTCATCCCCTTTTCCTTTTTCGTCCCCCCCATCCCCCTCTTCTCCCACACCTCTTTCAACAGATATCGGCAAGCCGGGGCTTGTGTTCAACATGCGAGTGCGCATCACCCGCCCGCCCTTGACGGGCCAGCTGACCTCTATGTCGGCTGTCTTACGCCCCCACTTCCCTATTCCCTCCCTGATCTCACGCCCCTTCCCCTCCTCCTTCTGCACCTTTTTCAACAGATCGGCAAGCCGGGGTTTGTGTTCAACATGCGGGTGCGCATCACCCGCCCGCCCTTGACGGGCCAGCTGACCTCTATGTCGGCTGTCTTACGCCCCCACTTCCCTATTCCCTCCCTGATCTCACGCCCCTTCCCCTCCTCCTTCTGCACCCTTTTCAACAGATCGGCAAGCCGGGGTTTGTGTTCAACACGCGGGTGCGCATCACCCGCACGCTCTTCAGGGGGCAGCTCACCCGCTTGACAGGCAACCACACGGCCCTTGCGGCATGCCTGCCCATGGCGGCTTCCAAGTCACAGGTGAGGCCTCTGATGTGACGCACAAGACACCCGTGCTGGTGGTGGTGGGGGAATTTTGTCAACATTCTCTTCACTGAGGGGCCTGAGAGCGACGCCGCCCGTGGCCTCCCATGTGAGCATTCACGCAACTGCCCCGAGTTCATTTTTGGGTCGACTAAAAAAGAGCCTATTTTTGAGTCGACTGATAAATTCGCGCAACTGCCCCGAGTTCACCCGATACTCTTCCCGGTTTCTCCTCCGCACAGGTCCTAGGGGCGTATGGGAACAACCAATTTCCTGTGCTAGTGGTGGGGTCACTGATTGGTCCGAGAGCGACGTAGCTCCCGACCTCCCATTCTTTCCCCTGTTGCTTTCCCACACAGGTCCTAGAGGCATATGGAAACAACCAGTCTCCGGTACTAGTGGTGGGGGACTTAGTCAACATTCACTTCACAGAGTGGCCTGAGAGCGACGCGGCTCTCGACCTCCCGTTCGAGCGCTCAAGCGAATGCCCCACGGCGCTGCTCATCAAGCCGGCAGCAGCCATGTTCTTTGCAGCCGAGCTGTTTGTGCGCGAGACGTTTCAGCGCGAGCGGTTTGTCGGCATGCACTGGAGAAGAGGGGACTTCAAGGCCTACTGCTTCTGGCACGGACCCAAGAACGCATGTTACTTCCCCGTACAGCAGGTGGGTGGGCTTCCCGTGCTTCAGGAGGCTAGGAATCAACAACCCCTCTTTGAGAATGTTCTAAACTTGACATTTAGTATTGTGTTTCCTCCATGCCATGTTTTCCTTGGCGTGTCCTGTGCCGGTCTGCAAGTGGCCTATTGGGTGTATCGCAGGATGAGGGAGCAGCTGGGCATCAACAACCTTTTCCTCGCCACCAATACCAAGCATGCCATTCTCTTCACATGCTCCGTCTTTGCCCTGTCCTGTGCATGCCATGCTCCTTGATGAGTCCCCATGAGCAGGTGGCGTATTGGGTGTATCGCAAGATGAGGGAGCAGCTGGGCATCAACAACCTCTTCTGAAATTTCTCAAAACTTGACATGTTCTTGTCATGTCCCCGCCATGCAATGCTCCTTGATGCGTCCCCATGAGCAGGTGGCGTATTGGGTGTATCGCAAGATGAGGGAGCTGGGCATCAACAACCTTTTCCTCGCCACCAATGCCAAGCATGCCGAGGTATGTGTTTGTTTGTGCAACCAATGCCAAGCATTCTTGGGTGCGTGTGTTGCAACGAGGTTGGGCAAGGCAAGCATGGAGGTGCGATGGCTGCCTGTCTGATTCACATCTGCATGGCTCATCGCTTCCCATGCAAGCCATCATGCTGTCATCTTCTCACCATCCCCTTCTCACACTCTTGTCCCCATCTTCGTCTGGTGCTCCTCATCTCGCCATTCTCTCCTCTCTTCTTTGTCACATCTGCCCCTCCTCCCCCTTTATTGTCACCCTTCTCTTTATTATTTGTCAGTTGGAGGAGCTTACTGTTTTGTTAAACCAAATGTCGGATTACAAGCTAAACGTTGTGCGGTTACCATCCGTCCGTGAAAAGAGCAAAGAAAAATGGATGCGGCCCATTCAACAACTGACTACAGGCCGCACAGAACTCATTCCCGTGGCTCTAGAAAAGCTGATTTGTGCACAGTCGCACATTTTCTGGGGATCTGTGGCGTCGACCTTTTCTATGGATATCCAACGGTTGCGGCATGGCTTACGGGTGGCCAGTTGTAACGATACGACGATTTGTTACGGGGAAAAAGAGTGGATCAAGAACAGAGGTTGATGGCGTTGGGGTTGTGTATGAATTTCCAGCACAGTATGATAATTTTTGACCTGAATGTTTTAGTGCTTGTTTATAAGCAGCCTCAGGGAATTGACTTCACATCCAACTTTTTATGCAAGCACCTCACCTTGATTCCAGTAGTTAATGCTATAATAAAATGGGTATCCTACCTTTACTAGTGTTCGCGAGCGTTACGAGTGCAATTGAGCGAGCTAGCGAGAATTGCACTATCGAAGCAAAACAGTACAATGAGTGAAAGGAATGAGCGAGAACTAAATAGCGAAGGCCACAGTGGTAACTGTAACGAACTGTGGCTGACGCGCGACGGGCCTGTGACTGAGGTCGGGGAAAAGTGTCGAGGCGGAGGCCCGGAGCGCGGGTTACCAGCCGAGCCGGAAGGCCGGGTTGCGATGTGCGAGGTGGCGGGAAGATTGTCGAAGCGAGGGTCGCGAGTGGTAACGGCGCTGACTGTGGTGCTACACTGATGTACGCGCTAAGCAGGGATGCGGCGTAAGGAAATGGAAATTTCCTTAGAGCGAGGCACATTCAATCAAATAATATGCACCCAGATAATACGTTCTCAACCTCATCTGAATATTCTTCTCCCGCCATTGTCACCTAGATAATACCGCCTGCCAGTAACCAAAATTTCCCGCCTTGCCAGTCAGTTCCCGTTCGAATACCTGTCAGCGGTTTCTTAGTCCACATTCTAAAAGACTTAGCAAGCTAGTCTGCGTTCTAAAAGGCTAACCGCCTTCGCTCCTTGACACGAATCATTGTTTTTATTTCTGCTCTAGAGGTTCGCTTCAAGTCTCGCAGTTTCACGTCATCGATTAGTCTCTAACTAACTTAGGTTATTGCATGTAAGAACCTAAATTGCATTCTGGTGCCTGCGCATTTAATCCGTCTGTGTAGCGTCGATTTTTTCTCAAATGGACGGTTCAGATGATTCGGATGTGGATTTCGGCACAATGGTCATGAAGCCTGGGAGCCGCAGACCGCCACAGGAGCCGTCCGATGAAGAATCGGACGGTGATGGAGGCGGGGACTTCGGAACCATGGTTATGAAACCTGGAAGCAGACGCGAAAGCGGCGGCGGCGGTGGTTGGCGTGGGGGAGGTGATAATAAGGGGGGCCAGTATGCAGGGGATAGTGACGAGGAAGGGGGAGGGGATTTCGGAACGATGGTGATGCGGCCACGTGGCACGCGACGAGACGACGATGACGGGAGTGGTGTGGAATCGGACGGTTCAGAAGGAGGGGATTTTGGAACCATGGTGGTGAGTCGCGGAAATAAAGGAAGCAGCGGGAGGGGAAGGAGAAGGGACGAGGAGGAGGAGGAGGAAGACGAGGATGATAATAGCGGGGATTTCGGAACAATGGTGGTGAGCAGAGGGGGTGGAAGGCGGAAGGGGGGGCGAGAGGAGGAGGAAGAGGAGGAAAGCGAGGAAGGGGATTTTGGAACGATGGTGGTTAGTAGGAAGAGTGGAGGAGGAGGGGGGAGGGGAAGAGCGGAAAGAGAGGAGGAAGGGGGAGGGTTGGCAGCAGCAGCTGCTAGCATGCGAGCTCAGATGGGGAGGGGTGGTGGGGGGAGAAGGGGAGGAGGGGGAGGAAGAGGAGGGCGGAGGAGAGAGGAGGAGGAGGAAGAGGAGGAGAGTGATGGAGATGGGGACTTCGGAACGATGGTTGTGAGTAAAACGAAGGGTAACAGGAGGCGAGAAGAGGAGGAAGAGGAAGAAGAGGAAGATGAGGAGGGTAGTGAAGAGGGGGATTTTGGTACGATGGTGGTGAGCAAGTCGGCCAAAAAAAAAGGGCGGTGGCGAAAGGAAGAGAGCGAAGAGGAGGAAGAGGGGGACTTTGGAACGATGGTTGTTTCGAAACGGCGAGGCCGCAGCGACGACGAGGAGGAGGAGAGCGATGAGGAGGATGATGAGGATGAGGAGGAGGAAGAAAATCAGTTTGGCACTGTGGTGGTATCTGGGAAGAGCAAGGGGGGAGGGCGGAGGAAGAAGGGGGGGAAAGGAGGGAAGGGGGAGAAGGACGGGACTGGGTCTCTGGCAGCGGCAGCAAGGAGCATGGCAGAGCACAAAGATGTTGCTCCCAAGGCGAAGAAGGGCGGAGGAGGGGGCGTGGCAGGGTCGAGCATCCATGTGTCCAGGGAGGACCCCACACTGAAATACGAGCTGCTGGAGGAACTGGGTGAGTGAGTGCGAGAAGGTGTTTCTCTGTGGGGGTGGAAGGGAAGGGTTGGCGGAGTTGCAGTACATTCACGCGTTTTCAGGGAGGACCTCACTTTGAAATGCGAGCTGTTTGGGAACCACTTTTGAGAATTCTCAAAAGTGGAAGGGAAGGGTTGGGGGAGTTGCAGTACTTTCACGCGTTTCCAGGGAGGACACCACCCTGAAATACGAGTTGTTGGAGGAACTGGGTGAGTGAGAGATGGGTGTTTGTTTCACATGACATGGCATGGAGGCCAGGAATTGCGGCAGGATCGAGTGTTCACGTTTCGCGGGAGGACCCCACCCCACCCTGAAATACTAGCTGCTGGAGGAGCTGGGCTGGGTGAGTGTGAGGAGTGGTGGTGCTTTTGGGGGTTGGGGAGGAAGGGTTGGTGACACACGTGACTAGAGAGGACCCCACCCCACCCTGAAATACGAGCTGCTGGAGGAACTGGGTGAGTGAGTGTGAAGGGTGGGTGAGTGAGGGGCGTTCGCTTGACTGTTGACATGGCATGACATGGCATGACATGGCATGGCACGTGGCATGGCATGGCAGGGCATGGTATGGTATGGCAGGGCATGGTATGGCAGGGCATGGTATGGAGCTGGGTGCGTGAGGGGTTGAGCTGGATGAGTGTGTGAGGTTCCACTAGTTAGTCATTGCGAGGCTGCGGTTCTAAAATCATTGTGGTGCCGCCCTCATTCTTGTCTCCACCTCCTTGCTCCCCTCCCCACACGTCCACCTGCTCCCTACACATGCCCCCCACCCCGCTCCTGCAGGCAAGGGTTCATACGGTTCAGTGTACAAGGGGCGAGACCGCATTAGCTCAGAGCTGGTGGCTATTAAAGTCATTTCGCTGGCTGAAGGGGTAAGTGGAAAAACGCACGGTTGGTAGGCAAGGGTTCATACGGTTTGGTGTACAAGAGGAGGGACCACATTAGCCCAGAGCTGCTGGCTATTAAAGTCATTCCCTCGCTGAAGGGGTAAGTGAAGAGAAGATTATTCTCGCGAGGGGGGAGAGGGAGAGGAGAAGATTGCTCCTCCTTGTGGCCAGGCCCTCTCCTCTTCCTCTTCCCTCTGATTTTTTTTTACTTTGCCATCCCTCCTCTTATTCCACTTCCGCTCTTTCCTTCCTCCTCTTTCCTTCTCTCCACCTCTTCCCTCTTCCTCCTCCCCTTTCTTCTCTTCCCGTCACTTCCCTCCACTTCCCCATTATCCTCCTCTTCCTTCCCCTTCCTCCTCCGGCCACCTCTTGTCTCCGCTCACTGTCATGTTCCATTCACGCCCCCCATCTCAGGAGGAGGAATTTGAGGAGATAAAGGGAGAGATAGAGAGGCTGCAGCAGTGCAACCACCCCAACGTCGTGCACCCTCCTTGACCTTCCTTCTCCTCCTCTCATCCTCACTCCCCTTTGCTCCACTCGCTCCCCTTGTGCCTCCATCTCAGGAGGAAGGATTTGAGGAGATAAGGGGGGAGATCGAGATGCTGCAGCAGTGCAACCACCCCAATGTCGTGCACCCTGTGTTCCCACCCTTTTTCTCAATCCACTTTCTCCTCTTTCCTCCTCTTCCTTGCTCGACAGGAGGAGGGATTTGAGGAGATAAGGGGGGAGATCGAGATGCTGCAGCAGTGCAACCACCCCAACGTCGTGCGCTATCATGGCAGCTACCAGGGAGACGACTTCCTGTGGGTGAGTTGATTCGATTCGGTTTGATTTGATATCCTTTGTTTAAGTCGCCCCAGTGCTATGGTAGCTATCAGGGGGACGAATTTCTGGGCAAGTATGAGAGAATCCGTTTCGGCATCTCTTGATTCGAACACCTGCAGTAAACCACAGGATTTTGGTTGCGGTGGTAGCCGCGTGGCTGGTCACGTGAACAGCACGGACTTTTCGTCTCATCTCTTCGTTGCCTTACCCTGCTCTCGCTCCCACCAAACACCCTTCCCCTGAAACAGATCGTGATGGAGTACTGTGGTGGTGGCAGCGTGGCTGACCTCATGAACAACACAGACTCGCCTCTTGAGGAGGGCATGATTGCCTACGTGTGCCGGGAATCTATCAAGGTGCGTGGGGGAGTGGTTCAAAGTTAGTGAAGGTCAATGTGGGTCACTGAGGGTCAACGAGGGTCAATGAGGGTCAACGAGGGTCAATGAGGGTCAATGAGGGTCAATGAGGATCAATGAGGGTCAATGAGGATCAATGAGGCTCGCCCCTTAGGGCATGATTGCCCATGTGTGCCGCGACTCAATCAAGGTGCGTGGTAGTCATTGGGGAACAATGCAGATCAAAGTCAGTAGCGCTCTTTATCCCCCTTCACTCCAAACCACCAAACTTCAAACCTTGATCCATCAGGGCCTAGCCTACTTGCACGAGGTCGGCAAAATGCATCGGGACATCAAGGGCGGCAACATCCTTTTTTTTTTTCCTTTTTTTTTTTGAGGCGCCTCAAAAATCATCAGGGCCTGGCCTACCTGCACGAGATAGGCAAGGTGCATCGGGACATCAAGGGCAGCAACATCCTGCTCAGCGATCCACAGCAGCACTTGCTGCCCTCTCCCCTCCCTGCACCAATAACCTCCTGTAACCCCAAACCCTTTCCGAATGAAACCCTAATCCCCATCAGGGCCTGGCCTACCTGCACGAGATAGGCAAGGTGCATCGGGACATCAAGGGAGGCAACATCCTGCTTAGCGACTCGGGGGAGATCAAGCTGGGAGACTTCGGGGTGGCGGCGCAGCTGACTCGTACCATGTCCAAACGCAACACGGTGAGGAGTGGTTCTTGTGCGGTTCTGTGCGGTGTAAAGTCATGGGGCTCTCTAAACACCAGGGGCAGTCCAGGTAGGAAAGGGCAACATCCTGCTGAGCGACTTGCGGGAGATCAAGCTGGGTGACTTCAGGGTGACTGCGCAGCTCACCCGCACCATGTCCAAGCGCAACACGGTGAGGAGGGGTGACGTGGGGTGGGGAGAGGTGGACGATAAGTGGTTTTGCGGGGTGTAGTAGGGTGGTGTGGCTGTGTGGTGACCCAGCTCACCCACCCGCACCATGTCCAAGCGCAACACAGTGAGGAGTGATAAGGTTGGTTGGAGTGGGGTGGGATGGGGTGGGATGGGGTGGTGCAGCAGTGTTGCATAGTCGTTTTTTAGGCGTGTAAAAACTGGATGGTACCAGGGGGCAATCCAGACAAGAATGTACTCAAGGCATGCTTGTTACTTTACTTTTGAGAATTCTCAAATGTAAGAAAGTACTCGAGGCATGCTTGTCTAAATTGCCCCCTGGGGGCATGTCTCTCACTCACCACACAAGCATGCTAAACCCGCCTTTTCCCCTTCTTCTCTTCCCCCCCCCCCCCCCCCCCCCTCTCTTCCTTTCCCCCCCTTTTTCAGTTCATAGGCACGTCCCACTGGATGGCACCGGAGGTGATTCAGGAGAGTCTGTACGCTCATCGTCCGCCTTCTTCCCCTCCCCCCCCCTTTCTTGTGCCCCCCTCCCCCCACGCCCCTTTCCCCTCGCCTGCAGTTCATAGGCACGCCCCACTGGATGGCACCGGAGGTGATTCAGGAGAGTCTGTACGACGGCAAGGTGGACGTGTGGTGATTAGCTAACCCCTTCTCTCACCCGTGTCTATCTGCACCCTTTCTCTCCCCTCTTCAGTTCATAGGCACGCCCCACTGGATGGCGCCCGAGGTGATTCAGGAGAGTCTGTACGACGGCAAGGTGGACGTGTGGGCGCTGGGCATCACTGCCATTGAAATGGCCGAGGTGCGCATGTCCTAGGCAACGCCTGGTAAGTACTAAGCCGTGCCTGGCAGCACAGTGAGGGTATGTGTGTGCGTGGGCTGTGCCGCCTGTCATGGAGTGCAGTCTGTCTGTACGACGGCAAGGTGGACGTGTGGGCGCTGGGCATCACTGCCATGGAAATGGCTGAGATACGCGCCCTGCCTTGTCAGTAGGTACGCCCTAGGCAGCACATTATATGCCTTGCCTTGGAACGCCTATATTCTGTACGATGGCAAGGTGGGCGTGTGGGTGCTGGGCATCACATCACAGCCATGGAAATGGGGCTGAGATACGCCTTGCATGCTCGCAGTCTGTATGTATGTATGTATGTATGTATGTATGTATGTATGTATGTATGTATGTATGTATGTATGTATGTATGTATGTATGTGTGTGTGTGTGTGTGTGTGTGTGTGTGTGTGTGTGTGTGTGTGTGTGTGTGTGTGTGTGTGTGTGTGTGTGTGTGTGTGTGTGTATGTATGTATGTATGTATGTATGTATGTATGTATGTATGTATGCATGCCCTGGACAGCACATCGCATGCCTTGCCTTGTCAGCGGCAGCAAAATGGTATGGTATGTCATGCATTCCCGATGGCAGCACAGCACAGGGTATGTGCCACGTGGCAACCACCTTTCCCATCACACCATGCCGTCCCTCCCCCCCTTTCCCCCCCCCCCACCGTGCCATCCCCACCAACCACCCGTGTGAGCGCAGGGCCTGCCACCACGATCCAACATCCATCCCATGCGAGTGGGTGCAGAGGCGCCCCAAAGTCATCACCAAATGCCATCCCCCTTTCCCCACTTCCCCCGCTTCTTCTCTTTCCCTCCCCCCACCGTGCCATCCCCACCAACCACCCGTGTGAGAGCAGGGCCTGCCACCGCGATCCAACATCCATCCCATGCGAGTGAGTGCTTGCTTGCCTAAGCCATCCCTCCCTTGTTTGCTGTCCTATTCATGCGCTAAGCCATCCCTCCCTTGTTTGCTGTCCTATTCATGCGCTAAGCCATCCCTCCCTTTTTTGCTGTCCTATTCATGCGCTAAGCCATCCCTCCCTTGTTTGCTGTCCTATTCATGCGCTAAGCCATCCCTCCCTTGTTTGCTGTCCTATTCATGCGCTAAGCCATCCCTCCCTTTTTTGCTGTCCTATTCATGCGCTAAGCCATCCCTCCCTTGTTTGCTGTCCTATTCATGCGCTAAGCCATCCCTCCCTTGTTTGCTGTCCTATTCATGCGCTAAGCCATCCCTCCCTTGTTTGCTGTCCTATTCATGCGCTAAGCCATCCCTCCCTTGTTTGCTGTCCTATTCATGCGCTAAGCCATCCCTCCCTTTTTTGCTGTCCTATTCATGCGCTAAGCCATCCCTCCCTTGTTTGCTGTCCTATTCATGCGCTAAGCCATCCCTCCCTTGTTTGTTGTCCTATTCATGCGCTAAGCCATCCCTCCGTTTTTTGCTATCCTATTCATGCGCTAAGCCATCCCTCCCTTGTTTGCTGTCCTATTCATGCGCTAAGCCATCCCTCCCTTGTTTGTTGTCCTATTCATGCGCCAAGCCATCCACGTGCATTGAGGTCGTTTTTGAGGCGCCTCAAAAACATGAAAAAATCATATGCTGTGTTCGCCTCGCCACAACATGTTCGCCTCGCCACAACATGTTCGCCTCGCCACAACATGTTCGCCAGGTATGGAGCTTCTTTCTAGACAAGTAATTCGCCCCTTTCCACTCGTCTTCTCCACCGTTCTTAACTGCTATCCACCCTTCTTCACCCCTCTCCGCCCACTCTTCCAGGTGCTTTTCATGATCTCCAGAGAACCATCCCCCACATTGGAGGACCCTGAGAAATGGTGATGCTCTTTCTTGATTCTTCCTACCTTTCTCGATGCTCTTTCCTCTATCTGTTCACTCACGCTGAGCCACCTGGAAAGTTTTTAGAGGTTCCGCGAAAGCTCTTCCTACCAGTTTCTTCTTACTGTTTGCGCTGATATCCCCCTCTTCACGTTTCTCGGATCTCTCTTTCGGGGCGCCTCAAAACTGCTTTCAAGGCGCCATGGTTAAAAAAACTGCTTTTGAGGCGCCTAAAAAACTAATCACGCTGAGCTCCCACCCTCCCTGTGTGCAACTTGAAGCTCTCTATCTTCTGATTGTTAAAGGATGTGCGCCTTTTGAACTGAACCACATTGCTCCGCATAATACCTCATTATACCGCACACTATCCGCTCCTCCTTCCGCAGGTCCCTGCTGTTCCACGATTTCGTGGCCAAGTGTTTGATCAAGGAGCCCAAGCAGCGCCCCACCACACCACGCCAGCTGAACCTCATTACACCGCATAAAACCGCACATTTTCCCCCCCTCCACCCTCCCTTTCAGGTCACTGCTGTTCCACGATTTTGTGGCCAAGTGTTTGATCAAGGGGCCCAAGCAGCGTCCCACCGCGCCAGCTGAACCGCATTGTCCCGCACACTATCTCCCTCCACCCCTTCTCAGGTCCCTGCTGTTCCACAATTTCAGGTCACTGCTGTTCGACGATTTCATTTAATCTAGGAGCCCAAGCAGCGCCCCACCACACCAGCTGAACCACCGTATACCGCATAATACCGCAATGTACCGCTCACAATCTCCCTCCACCCCTCTCAGGTCCCTTTTGTTCCACGATTTCGTGGCCAAGTGTCTGATTAAGGAGCCCAAGCAGCGCCCCACGACACCAGCACTGCTGCAGCACAAGTTCATCGAGAGGTGCAAGGACACTGCTGTGGTGCTCAAGAAGCGGATCGACCAGGCCAAGGCGATGCGAGAAGAGGCAAAGAAGCAACGGCTAGCTGCCGCAGCTTTGGAGGAGCAGAACAGCGTTTCGGAAGATGTGAGTTTCTCAGGGCAGCAGGGTGGTAGCCTGTGGTAACGAGGTTGCTTACGGTTACTTACAGGTATGGGTGCACCCAGCACTGCTGCAGCACAAGTTCATCGAGAGGTGCAAGGACACTGCTGTGGTGCTCAAGAAGCGGATCGACCAGGCCAAGGCGATGCGAGAAGAGGCAAAGAAGCAACGGCTAGCTGCCGCAGCTTTGGAGGAGCAGAACAGCGTTTCGGAAGATGTGAGTTTCTCAGGGCAGCAGGGTGGTAGCCTGTGGTAACGAGGTTGCTTACGGTTACTTACAGGTATGGGTGCACCCAGCACTGCTGCAGCACAAGTTCATCGAGAGGTGCAAGGACACTGCTGTGGTGCTCAAGAAGCGGATCGACCAGGCCAAGGCGATGCGAGAGGAGGCGAAGAAGCAACGGCTAGCGGCCGCTGCAGTGAAGGAGCAGAAAAGCGTCTCAGAAGTTGTGAGTCCTGGTGTGGTGGTAGCTGAAAAGGGAATCAGTCACAGGGTGACATGCATTCAGGCTCGGGGGTTCACCGGGAGGGTGCAAAGACACAGCCGTGGTGCTCAAGTATCGGATCGACCAAGCCAAGGCGATGCGCGAGAAGGCGAAGAAGCAGCGGCTAGCTGCTGCAGCTCTAGAGGAGCAGAGCAGCATATGAGAGGATGTGAGTGTTGGTGGTAGAGAGAGCAGATGGGTGCTGTGCATGCTTACGCGCATGCCACCCGTGCATGCCACCCGTGCATGATTAACTCCTTGTTAGTCCATCTCTATCCCTCTCCCGTCCCTCTCCCGTCCCTCTCCCGCCCCTCCATGTCGACTCAGTCCACGCTTCACAGGCACAGCAAAGCCAACAGGAGATGCCGTGGGGGGAAGGAAGGGAGCTTTCCACCCACTAGTGAATACATTTTCTGGACCTACATCTCTTTCTATTCCTCTCTGTATCCCTCTTTATCCCTTTCAACCCTCTCCCACCCTCTGTGTGGGTGCAGTGCAGCCCATGGGCACGGGCACAGTGAAGCAGAGGGGAGGCAGCATGGGGGGGACAGTGAAGGCAGCAGGGAGTTTTTGAGAATTTAAGAATCCTCAAAAACTCCCTGCACAGTGAAGCAGAGGGGAGGCAGCATGGGGGGGACAGTGAAGGCAGCAGCGCTTAGCTGTGTCTTTTCCCCTTCCCTTCGTCCTTCCCCTTTTTCCTCCCCCATGGCCATTTCGGTCCCCCAGTCCATAGGCACATGCACAGTGAAGCAGAGGGGAGACGCCATGGGGGGAACAGTGAAGGCTCGCTCTGCTCCCTCCGCCTATGCTCATGATAACGACACCTCCATCCCTCTACTAACCTCTCGATCCCTCTCCATCCCTCTGCTTCCTCCCTCCCACCTTCCATTGCAGTCCATGGGCACAGGCACAGTGAAGCAGAGGGGAGACGCCATGCGGGGGACAGTGCATCAGTCTCCACTATTTCTCTGCATCCCTCTCCACCCCTCTCCGTCCCTTGCCCCTCCCTATCTGATCAGTCCATGGGCACAGGCACAGTGAAGCAGAGGGGAGACGCCATGGGGGGGACAGTGAAGGCTCGCTCTACACCATCCGCCTATGCTGATGATGACGAACCTGGTGGGTACCAATTGGGGTAGGTGGTGACTGGCGTAGGTAGTGACTGGCGTAGGTGGTGACTGGGGTAGGTGGTGACTGGGGTAGGTGGTGACTGGGGTAGGTGGTGACTGGGGTAGGTGGGACTGGGGTAGGTAGTGACTGGGGTAGGTGGGGGCTGGGGAAGGTGGTGACTGGGGTAGGTGGGTGGGACTGGGGTAGGTGGGACAGTGAAGGCTCGCTCTACACCATCAGCCTATGCTAATGATGATGAACCTGGTGGGTGCTATGCTATGTTGGGGAGTGTATCCAAAAGGTCCCTCCCGTCAACTCCTTCCTCTCTTCCCTAAGTTGAAATCACTCTTGAGAATTCTCAAAACAGGTTAGGTGGGTTTGTAGGTACCCGTTGTCATCTCCTTCCTCTCTTGCCTCCCCCTTCCTAAACCACCCCATCCCACTCATTTCAATCTATATGAGTCAGACTTACGTGTCAAGTACTCAGAATTTTTTTAGCCGTCTCAGAAAACAAGTTTTTGAGCAATGACTCTTTATCCGCTCACTACCCCCCCTAGTGTCCTGCCCCAACCCCACTCACCCAAACACAGATTTCAGCACGTTTGTGAACAAGGATAAAAAAATATGCTGACCCTGTTGTTTCCTTCCCCGCGTTCCCTCTTCCCTCCCATCCTCCTCCTATCCCTGCAAACCCACACAATACATCCCAGACTTAGGCACGTTTGTGAACAACGACTTTGAATCCGAGGATGAGGCGATGGATGGACACGGGCAGACTTTTGAGGCGATGGATGGACACGGGCAGACTCAAAAGTCACCTCGGATGAGGCGATGGACACGGGCACGGTACCCTTCGACTGACTCCGTTTGCTCTTTCCCTCTTTCCTCCCCCCCTCCCCCCCACCCTCTTCCCCTCCACACAGATTTCGGCACGTTTGTGAACAAGGACTATGAGTCTGAGGATGAGGCCATGGACACGGGCACGATGCGCGTCGCCAGGTCAGACGAGCCGTCCGCCAAGTCAGCAGCCGCCACGTCAGCAGCGGAGGGCGTGGAATCGTCTTCCGATAACATCGGCGCTGCGCTGGCGGCGTTGGGCGGGCAGCGCAAGGCCAAGCCGGCCCAGGCCAAGTGAGTGGGCGCTAGGGATGGTCAGTGATTTGAAAAGTCTCACATCGTGTGTCCTTCTGGAGCATGCAAAGGTTAATACAGATAACATCGGCGCAGCGCTGGCAGCTTTGGGCGGGCAGCGCAAGGCCAAGCCGGCCCAGGCCAAGTGAGTGGGCAGCTGGGGTTACTCGGTGGGAAGTGTCTGAATTGGAATACTCTTGCTGGATTTGGGCTCCTTCCTTAGTGACTCTACAGTGAGGCAGCTAGGCCGGACAGCATTGGAGCAGAGGTGACTTTTGAGTCGACTCAGAACGAGGTGACTTTTGACTTTGGGGGAGAGATTATGTTATGCAATGCTTTCTCTTCCCTCCTCTCGCCTCCTTTCCCTCCCAGGTCTGCCCCAGCGCGCCGATCAGAGCGCCCTCCTGTGCCTCCGAAGCAGGCAGCAGCAGCGGGTATGGAGCTAGAGGCGAAGAGGAGGAAGGGCACGGACCTCTTTTGGGCTATGTCAGGCAACCCCTCCCCTCCCCTCCCCTCCCCTCCCCTCCCCTCCCCTCCCCTCCCCTCCCCTCCCCTCCCCTCCCCTCCCCTCCCCCCATCCTTCCCCTCCCCAGGTCCGCCCCGGCGCGCCGATCAGAGCGCCCTCCTGTCCCGCCGAAGCAGGCAGCAGCAGCGGGCATGGAGTTAGAGGCGAAGAGGAGAAAGGGCACGGATTTCTTTGCAGGGGCGAGACAGGCTATGGAGGATGGGACGAGGCAGGCCATTGCTGACAGCACCCGGCCCGCTCAGAGAGCCAGCCCTGGGCTGCAGGATAAGGTGAGAGAGGGAGTGAGAGTACGCATGTTCGAGCAAGAATGCAGCTGAGGCGCGCGTGCGTGTGCTGACTCAGTGTGTGTACTAGGGAAGGAGCTGGAGATGAGAAGGAGGAGGGGAGGAAGGAAGGGCACGGATTTCTTTGCAGCAGTGAGACAGGCTATGGAGGATGGGACGAGGCAGGCCATTGCTGATAGCACCCGACCCGCTCAGCGCGCCAGCCCTGGTCTGCAGGATAAGGTGGGTTGGCGGGGAGCACTTGGGATTGAGACAAGTCACTGTGTCTAGGAGGGTAAGGTACGGCACTGGCACTGGCGAAGGCTGCAGCTGAAATGCGCGTGCGCTGCCTCAGTCAGCAGTCTCCACTAGATGGGGTGGGACGAGGCAGGCCATTGCTGACTGACAGCACCCGACCCGCTCAGCGAGCCAGCCCTGGGCTGCAGGATAAGGTGAGAGGGAGTGTAAGCCCAAGGTAACAGCATCTGGTGAAATGAGGGTGTTTTTTGAGACGTCTCAAAAACACCCTCATTTCACGCAGGATAAGGTGAGAGGGTGTGTAAGCCCAAGGTAACGGCATCTGGTTGGTGATATTTTATCAGGCGTTTCAAAAGCGCGCCGCCTTGTATTTCCGACCCTCATCTTCCCCCCTCCCCCCACCCCCTTTTTCCTCATTTCCCCTTCCCATCACTCTCTCAGCTATCAGCGGTGTATGCAGCAGGCAACACAGTCCCCATTCCCTTCCTCCAACCTCCCCCTTCCCTTCCCCCATTCCCGCCCCTTCCACTCCAGCTATCAGCGGTGTATGCAGCAGGCAACGCGGTCCCCATACCCTTCCTCCGAGTATGCGGCATCTCCCCTCTCGCCCTCATCGCCTCATCCAGCCCCGACGGGGCTCCCTCCTCTTCCCTATCTTCCCCTCATCGCTCTTTTTTCCCTTTCCTCTTCCCTCTCTTCCCTCCCAACCCTCGTGCAGCTATCAGCAGTGTATGCAGCAGGCAACACGGTTCCCATCCCCTTCCTCTGCGCCTGCGACATCTCCCCGCTCGCCCTCGTAGCCGCATTGGGCCCTGACAAGGCTCCCTCTGACCTTCTTTCTACCACTTCTAAACCTTAAACCTTTCGCTTGTGCCCCAACCCCCCCCCTCTTTGCTCCCACCTCCCCCACCTTCATGCAGCTATCAGCGGTGTATGCAGCGGGCAACACAGTCCCCATCCCCTTTCTCCGCGCGTGTGACATCTCCCCTCTCTCCCTCATCGCCTCATCCGGCCCCGACGGGGCTCCCTTTGACCAGTGCGGGCTGGAGGCGATTCAAGAGCTGTCAGGGAGTGGTGGGCTGGCAGGCAGCAAGGGCGCCAGACGAACACCTGCTGCTGAGGTGAGGCGGAACACTGTGAGTGAGGTAGCAGCCTTCCATACTGAGGTGAGGAATGCAGGTCCGCTGGTTCCTGTACTGAGTTCTGCTGTTGCTAGTACTGCCATGGGGGGTTCGAGCCCCGACGGGGCTCCCTTTGACCAGTGTGGGCTGGAGGCGATTCAGGAGCTGGCAGGCAGCAAGGGCGCCAGACGAACACCTGCTGCTGAGGCGAGGCACAGTAGCAGCCTTCCATACTGTGCTGTGCTCCTTTAGTAATTACTGATGCTACAAGGGGAGGGGTTACAAGGCCCCGAGGGCAACCTGGCCCTCTTTGACCAGTGTGGGCTGGAGGCGATTCAGGAGCTGTCAGGGAGTGGTGGGCTGGCAGGGAGCAAAGGCGCCAGACGAACGCCCGCGGCTGAGGTGAGGGAGGAGGCGAGGATAAGTAAAGGGCGCCAGTCGGACCACCCAACAGCGTCCTTCTGTGCCGCCTCTTCCGATCCCCTACCATTCGTGCGACTTTTGAGAATTCTCAAATGTCGCACCAATACAGTCGGACCACCCAACAGCGTCCTTCTGTGCCGCCTCTTCCGATCCCCTACCATTCCCACTACTTGCCGTTAATGCATGACATTTGAGTCTGACTCTAAAGTCATCTCCATCCCTGGATTGTTCTCCTGCCGGACAAGCCAACAGCCCTTTCTCTCTGAATTGTCTCTTTGATTCTCCTACCATTTACTCTACACCCCATCCCCACCACAGGTGCCACTACCCCCCAGTGTGTACCGCAGACTAGCCAACAGCACCACCCTCCCCAATCTTGCCCGAGCGCTGGCGTACCATAAACAGTACGTGATGCTCCTCATAACGAGTATAAATGCTTGTATCGTTGATAATGTATCATCATACAGTATGTCGTGGCTTGTTTGTCTTCGAATCTTCTGGTGCCTCCTTGAATTTATTCTCGTTCTCTGCTCGCAACACATTCAGACACTTATCATTTAGACAACACATTGAGACTGCTGCTAGTTACCCACTCCGCTAGCTACCGTATCTGTGTTTGCCCGTTGTCAACTGTAACCTCCCATTCCGGCCCTCTCTTTGGCCCCTCTGTCTGTCCCCCATATAAGGTGTTTGGACGAGATGCCTCTACAAGGATGGCAAGTAACACAAGAGAAGGCCATCATACACAACCTATCTGACACCATACGGACTATTCTCCGCCTATAATTCATCTTCAGGGTCTACCGTAATGGAGGAATGTAACAACTCGTGCGTTCGAGGTGCCTCGAAATGTAATGCGTAACTCCCTTAGTATTTGCTTTGCATCGCTTTCGTTTGTTACTCCATGTCATTGTCGAATCAAACTTAAAATGCCCGATTGTTCAGTCATCATCATGTTCTGATAAAGAGCGGGTGGAACGGGACAAACGGCTAAATTATGTTCAAGAATATCACCTTGCACAACGTGTACCTGTTTGGAAAAAATATTTATAGAAGTCAGATTGTTTATGAGTCTCATGATGCTATTTTGAACCCAAGTCTAGGGCGTCCTTACACACAAAAGTTCACCTGCTACTCTTCTGTCACACATTTTCAGTTTGGACAAAACCAGCAGGGCATACAGAGATCACAAACCCTAAACGCCAGCAGCATTTTATGCAGACAGTCAGAATGCAAGTATTACGAAGTGACGACAGCAGAGCACGAAGCTCCTCATTTAACTTTCTCGAGGGCTCTCTCCAGGGCCAAATCATTTACAGTGCCAACGAGTGTCTCCTGCTCACGCCCAGCCCTGAAGGTTTTCACGGTAGGAACGCTTCGGACGCCATATTCGGACGATGTCCAGGAACTTTCGTCAGTGTCCACCTTGAAACAGGTGGCCCTTTGACCGTGCTGGTTTGAGTGGGAAGTGAGGCCACATCATGTACTGCGACCTTATACACAAACTTCATCTGTTACATTTTCAGTTTGGACAATATCAGCACAGAACACGGAGATGACAAACCCTAAACGCCGGACAGCTTGATATGTAGGAAAGTATCGTCATCTCGAGTGAAGGCAGCAGAGGACGAAGAAGCTCATACATCAGAAAAATGTAGGGTGCGTTTTAGGCGGTAAACGCCCTCCTATGCCTCGTTTGTGCTGTGCTGACTGTGATTTAGGGTGAGGGCAATAAACCACTAAGGGTATTGCGCTTTCTGATCGAAAACGGAGGGGGGTCCGAAGCATCATATACGACTGGTTGTTCAGCTACAGTGTCGAGCGTAATCTGCGGTTGATTGGGTTCGAAAGGTAGTATACGATGGTTCGCGAATGGCGAGATTTGAGCGGTACAGGAGCTGAGGAGTCAACCGCGATCCACACCGCCCGAAATTTATGGCGAGATGGGGGAGGTAACGGAACTCAAACGATAGTTTACGATCGTCAATCTGCCAAAACGAAATTTCTTCGGGCGCGTCTGTTACCACCTGGTTACAGTAACATTAAATACACTTCGGCGGAGTGTAAACATATAATGTTTGTGACGGTAATCGTAGAGTTTATTATTTGTGTTCGTAACCTGGTAACCAAAACTGTTGAGTGCAGTAATAACTGGTTACGTGATTATCCAATTATCGAAATAACCTCATTCGTATACAATTAATAATGCTGATTAATAAATAGCAGCCGCTAAAAAATATCATTAATTAGAAATTAGTACAAACTACTAGCTACAATTAGCACTACACAGACACTACAGAGACACTACAGACACTACACTGACACTACAGACTACAGACACTACACCTAACAGACACTACACTACAGAAACACGCGCTCCCACCCCTCAATCAAAATCCGCACCTTTCCAGAACCAAGCACCAACCCCTTCGGTTCATCACGCTGCAGGCAACTGGGGTTGTTCGTCATAGCCTGATGAAGGGCCGCCACGACCACATTGGTTTTCGCGCGGACATAGTTGCTATTGGTCGCCTGAACCCCCCCGAGGGAAGGCTGGCCCCTTCCCGGCCTGAAGCTTTCCAGGGGGGCTTCAACCTGCACGTAAGAAAACGAATCATGCACACGTGGTTAAAACATGTTAGCATTTAATCAAGTAGCAGTGCAAATACTAACCACGACACAGAGATACGCCAGCATAGGAATCTTCACGAGCACCAGGTTGGACGTCGCACAGGAGAACCCAGCCAAAGCTGCCTTCTCAAAAGCGATGTTGGCGAACGGGACACCTTCGCTGTTAACGTGCCAGGAGTACCCAAGCACAGCTGCACAGGAAGCATGAAAATTATTAGTGAGATGCATAATACATAACACAAAAGAAGCCTACCTGAAGTCCTCAAGCCACTTCTGATACGTCCGTTTCTTCGATGGGATTATCATCTCCACAGCAAGCTCCGGCCACCTACTCTCGTCCACCAGCCCACCCGCACCCCAAGCATAAAAGCGAATTTTCTTGTGCGTGTTCGAGCGCTTGGTCTTAATCACCTTCATCGCCAGTTTTTCGTACTCAATCTTGCCACCTGTTGCGAAGAAGTACTCATCGTGATTGACTCCACAAAGTCGGTACTTCACGATGAGATGCGGCTGGAACGCTTCCCAAGTAGGGAAAAACTCCATTTGCTCCACGGGCGCGTCTGTTAACAGCCAGGTGAAGGTCTCCAGCGCCTTAGTCTGCAGCAGACATGGGAAACAAATCAAAATTAAACTTCATAAGCGCACAGTTAGAAGGTAGTGTCAACCAGAAACAACCCTACCAAAGAAAACATGATTTAAAATAACAACGAACAATGACAAAAAAACGGTTTAGCCATATCGTTACTCACCGAAAACTCCTTAGGAAGGAGGCTCGTCTTCAGGATGACGTTGCCATCCTTGTCCTTGGTCAGCACATCCATGTTCACCACGGGGTTGTCAGGATACTTCTCTGGAATGCCAACCGCCAGTTCCGCCTCGAGATCAGCCACGCGGGTACGAAGAGTCTCGCTCTCGGCTTCGGCGGCGGCAATTTTCTGGTTGGCTTCGCTAGACTGAAGCTCCAGGACCTCGATAGTACGCTGGAGATCCTCCACTATTGCTTGCAGATGGCGATTCTTCCTGCACCAATGCGCGCCTATGCCTGGAAAAAAAGAGAACCAAGAGTCAGTACGATGTTGCGAAACACCAGCAAAAACAAAAAATGACATTGGCAAAGTATCGAAGGGAAGCACCCACCTTCAGAGCGAGCTCCGCGGGTGACGACAGGATTTCCGTCACCGAGCGCCATTTGCTGCTGACCAAGCTGCTGCTGCTGGCCGAGCTGCTGCTGCTGGCCAAGCTGCTGCTGCTGACCAAGCTGCTGCTGCTGACCAAGCTGCTGCTGCTGACCAAGCTGCTGCTGCTAACCAAGCTGCTGCTGCTGCGCAAGATGCTGCTGCTGAGCAAACTGCTGCTGCTGCTGTTGGGCACCATCTTCTTCCGCATAATCCTCTTCCTCATCCTCGTCCTGCTCCTCGTCCTCCTCATCCAGCTCATCGTCCAGCTCCTCGTCGAAGGCGGAGCGGGCAGCCGTCAAGAAATCCTCAGCCAGCGCGCCGGTGGTTGCGTCAGCCAGAAACTCAAGGTTGTGCTGCTGCTGTTGCTGGGTAGTAGCCACAGGCGGCTGCTGCTGCTGCTGGGAAGCAACAAGCGGCTGCTGTTGCTGCTGGGAAGAAACAGGCGGCTGCTGTTGCTGCTGGGAAGAAACAGGCTGCTGCTGCTGCTGGGAAGCAAAAGGCTGCTGCTGCTGGGAAGCAACAGGCTGCTGCTGATGCTGGGAAGCAAAATGATGCTGCTGCTGCTGGGAAGCAAAAGGCTGCTGCTGCTGGGAAGCAACAGGCTGCTGCCGCTGGGAAGCAACAGGCTGCTGCTGCTGCTGCTGCTGGGTAGTTGTAAAAGGCTGCTGCTGGCGAGTCGCGGGAAGAGGACGGCTCGGGTGAGAGCTCGAGAGAAGCTGCTGCTGGGAACTCACGGGCAGAGCCGACGAGCTCGTGAAAAGCTGCTGCAAGAAGCTCGCGGGCGGAGGGTTCGGGTTCGTAACGGCCTGCTGCTGCTGCTGGGAACTTGCGTGCAGAGGGAGGTCCGGGAGCGCCTCTGTGACAAGCTCCTCCTCGGTAGTTGCGGGAGCAGGACTACCTTTAGTAGCTCCTGCCTTCCTTCCCTGCTTGCCTTTCTGCCTACCGGACTTAGCGGCGGCGGATTTCTTCTTAGGTGCAGGCACACCTGAGAGAGTGTTGGTACACTTCTTCTTGCCAGTGTTGGTAGCAATGGACTCACGGCGCTTGAGAGCGTGCTAGTAGAGGGCACGCTGGCTGTTGACGAGTTCGTCTGCTTCAGCTTCTGTCATTTCTGCTGCAAATGGCGATGGAAGCGTGACCCCCTCCAGCTCCTGCCCCCCCCCCTGAACCCTACGGGTCAGGCCATTGCCTGCCCGGTAATTAGTGTTCTCAACTTCCCCCATCGTAAACCACGATATATTTCCAAACTGGCGAATTCCGAGGTCATATACTAGCTATCTTGAAACTTAGCGCCCCGAAAAGTTTCGACGTAAAAGTTTATCCCGGGTTTTTTCGTTCGCGGGTGCGATGTCAGCAAAAACAGTACCCACGTCCACCCTTCGGAATGTTCTGATTGGGCCATTTTGACGAGGTCGCGCAACCACACCGCTTGAGATTCGGGAATCCTGCCAGCTCCACGGCGCGCAACCGTTAGATGCTCACCTAAGTGCCAGGGTGTGCACAATGGTTCGCTTTCGATTGATCGAGACCGTCAAGATGGAATCTTGACGGTCTCAACACATCGTCCTGGAATCTTCGAGATTCCAGCACGACAA